CAGAATTTGTTGACTTTTGGATCTTGGGTAGTAAAAGTCTTTCTAGAACAGTAAACTACCACCACTGTTCTGGGCCTTAGTGTCTTGAATAGGTGGTCGTTTACCCTTGTCGTAGATATGTGAATTTGTCCACAACAGGTTTTATACTTGTAGTTTTTTTTTTCCGCAATGAGTATAATTGCCTTCACGCTTTCTTTCATCAATAGTCATTGACTGGGGGATTCCTTCATGGGCCCTTTTGAAGTTTGTATGTGTTACCTTCATAGTCCTAGTATATCTCTTTGCCAGTTTCTGGGGTTTCAGTTCTCTTTTTCATTTTTTAGAGGGACCACCTTCCTTTATAAAGAGTTTTTCCCTTTTTTACCTTTAGTTGATTTTGGCTGCAGGTTTTTTGTCTGAAAATACTTTTTCTCGGGTTTTAGTTTATCCCAATCCAGGTGGTCCTATTCCCACTGTTCCTCTTTATTCCTTCCTGCTTCCCAGACTGCTATTTCCAATTCTGCATCATTATAGTATTTATTCAAGGAAAGTTGCTATCAAATCTTAGAGCATTACTTTCTATCATACACTATACACCAGGGTGGTCCTGTTAGTCAAGCGTCAAGATTCAGATTATACATCTTTCCTATAAATGTTCAAATAATATTTGTATACTCAACTGATTCAATGTCTCATATAGCTTTATATCCTTCTTCACGAGGGGCATACTGACTGGTGAATTTGTATTCAAAGCGTGTCCATAAACATAGTTCTGGGTCTTGTTCTTCTCCACTGAGTCTATCCATTGTATACCAATACCATACTGCTATCTGACTAACCCAATCTGCTTTTGTTCTTCCCAAGGCATAGATGATCTTTTCCCCATCATCATCCTAAATTCTAGTATTGTGTTCAAAGTAATCTACATATTGAGTTAACTAATTATACATACATTGGCTGGTTTTTGCTTTGAAAAATAGTAGTGGATCTTTCGGTCGCTTAACAGTTTAGGCCAATGCTTCGACAAATACATCAGCTATTCCGCCTTGTTCTGGAATTAGTCGCAGTTAAACCTGGATGGCCCTCCTCCACATTTTCCTCCATTTCTGTCGTCATCCCTATCATCATTCCCATCATCCAGGTAGCCACCCAGGATTATTAAAGTTAGAGGTTTTCCTTCCTTTTATTTCCCCTTGTCTCCGATAGAGGCTTTCTCAGATTCCACCCTTTCTGCATCATCTTCCTATTCTTCTAGGATTGACTTCAACATATCATACTGACCACTCAGTTGTCTGCTACCTAGTGCTTTAATTCTGTCAAGCACTAGGGCTAAGGTATGGGATATTTAAATTTGATCCCTTTGAATAGTATGAATAAATCGACCATAGATCACTGCCTCCTGATCTTATCGCGTGGCCACATTAGATATCAGAGTTCGCAATGCTTGGTTCTGTTGGGTCCGTTATACTCTGAACTCCCGGAAAGCTCGTTTCAAAGTAAGCTCTTGTTAGCAAGCTTCTCGCTATAGTTGGATAGTTACTCCCTCATGATGCTCTTGTCATTCATCCTGTGCTACCAACTTGGTGGCAATTTCCCTATTAATCCTTTCTTGAATCTCTACAATGTTTACTTCTACCACCGTACACTGAGGTATCATAACAGCACTATCACTATTATGTATATCTTGTCCTTCCAGCAATCGTTGCTGGACCTCTATCAATCGTTACTGGACTTCCATCACCCCTTGTATATTAGCTTATGAGTTGGCTTATAGAGCATCAAAGGCAATATTGGCAGTATCATTATAGGTTGAAATATTCTACAGGATTTGACCTATGACTATTCCTACCCTAACAGCGACTCTTGCAAGGTCTGCCTGCATGGGTATTCGGACATTGTGTGAAGGATCTCAAAACAGAAAAAGGGGCTCTTAAACACTAAGAGATACTGAGAGCTTTGCAAGCTAGTACTCTGAAAGGTTTTCAGAGAGTTGGAGGTAGAGAGAACGAATGACTAAAACTTATAGAGTAATCATCTCCGGACGTATCCATTGGTTCCCTTTGAGGAATCTGCTTAGGAGGTAGTGCTATCTGCTTTACTCATTTACGTGCGTCTTTTTTTTCTCCTAGATGCACTAAGAAATTCAGATTTCCTGAGGTTTTCATTCATATAGAATATGGAGCGGGATACTTAGTGTCTTGGTCTTATCGTGCAGTAGGAAGAGGTAGGTAGATAGGTAAAGAGTCTTGGTAACAAGGAGATCTAACAATATACTATTTAGCCGGAGACAACCTGATAGAATTCACAGTTGTCTAGACCAACTAA